TTGGAGTGTTTGCTCCTTTCCTAGCTAGATTATTTGCTTTTCATTGCCTTCTATCCCTTGGTGAGCAGGCACCCAGTGTAGGAGGACTTTGTTTTCTTTGCCTAATTTATTCAGCTTCTCTATGCATTCTTTGACCAATTTCGAATTGATTGATACTGAGTTGATCGCCTTTAACGCTGCTTGACTATCAGATAAGATGGCTATTTCTTGTTTCCGATAGTTCCTATCTAAGAGAAGTTGTACGCATCTCTCGATCGCGTAGATTTCTGCCTGTAGGATACTAGGGTAAGTGCCCATTGCAAATTGTTATGTATGGAAATTTCATCATTTGTAAGAAGTTTTATGTAGATTCTGAATATACAGGGTGGTCCGAACTGTATTCCGGAAACTTCGGCACCATATTCTGCAGATAAAAATAAGTAAAAAAGTTCGTATAAATATATGTCTTCAAGTGCTTAGTTTCGGAGATACAGGGTGTAGAAGTTTCATTTTTATTTCGATTTTTTCTAAATAATTTATGAAGTAACGTCAATATTTCGATAAATTTTGGTGTCTGGGAGTTTTTTGACATGAGAAATTTGATTTTGATGTCAATATGACTCCTACTTGTAGAGGGCGCCACCTACATATTTTTTAACTGGTTTGAAGAATAATAACTTTTCGTACGTACCTGTATAAAACTACCGAGTGAAAAAATATACATTTACGACATTTTTTACGTAAAAAAGATCTCTTGGTAAAAATCGCTACGAGTAGTGGTTCTCGAGATATTTGGAATCGAAATTATCAATACCTATCGTCGTCATTGACATAAATTAAACTAAATAGATATTAAACTAAAATCATAAATTTGAAATGTTTTTGTGCCAAAAATTCAACAGAAACTTTTTTATCGTCATTTTTTGAAAGAAAAATTTATGATTAATTTAAAAAATTAAAAAGTTCCCAAATTTACTATTTCAGTCCAATAACTATCTACTCAACATGTTTATTTTTTGTCAATAATGACTAGAGTTGTGCTTGGTCAATTGACCGCGGTCAATTGACCGAGATTTGTGACAGATTTTGACCGGAAAGATTTTGACCAGGTCAGGTCAAAATCTTTTAATTAACGAAACCAATTTTCATCTAAATATTGACGTTTATTTTTTTAGAATTAAGAATGAGTGGGAGGGGGGTTAATCACTTCGACCTTACAGATCCATTGTGTCCCCCTTTCTTGAATCATAACTCATCATACAGTCCCAGGGCTTTGACAAAAGCCAGTATCTGGGACGGTTTTATAGAGGGTAGTTCTCCATCTCCAATATCAGTCGTACCAAAATTCATGGCACGAATGGTTGTCGTCTCGGCGCACTCTAGTGATGAGGTGTACTGGAGGAATTGTTTCACCATCTTCCGAAAGAATCTGCATTAGTTGCTGTTTTAATGTTGACTCAATGAGTTCAATGATGACTGTGATGAAGATGAGATTCCGTTGTCTAGATTAGCCTGTGCTACCACCACTCATTAGTATTTTTTTGATTGCTATTATGCACTTCTTTCCGCTACCTCAGAATGGCTTTATATTTGTTTAAAATTATTAGTCTTGTTCGGTTTCTTTTTTGTATCATTTAATATAATGCAAATGCAAACAAATCGTACGATAAGTTAGCCGCGTGTGGACCACGCTTTAGATTTAAATTAATATTAAATTTTATATAAAACTTTTTAAATTTAATTATCATTTAATGTAATGTTTCGTTCTGTTCTAATTCTTTAATTTTTGTTTACTATTTTTTAACCACTAATATACGTATAAATGTAATTTCTCCTACTTTTATTTTTTTAAAATGACGAAAGAATTTGACTGGTGCTTTGTCAATTGACCAATACTATTGACATGTTTGTCAAAGTTGTACGTTCTTGGTAATATCGTCCACTGGGAGTTGCAGGAGTGGTATTTCCTTTTGAGGAGGTGTTCCAAGCCCCTGATCTGACAATTCTCCCAGTACTAATTCCGTTGAAGTGACCATTCTAATCATTGTCGCATTGTCATATCTACCAATGACAATGTGCAGTGGTGTTAGATCTAGAATGACCTCCATTGCTGCTGTTGGACAGGTTCTCATGGCTCCTGTGATGCAAACACATGCTAGTCTCTGGACTTTGCATAGGTTTAGCCTTGCCGTCCGTTGCTCTAGTTTTGTGTACCAGGCAACTGCTCCATAAGTAATCATGGGTCTTACTATCATGGTATACATCCAGCGCAAAATGTTAGGGGAGCAGCCCCATTTATTTCCGGCCAGTCTTCTGCATATCATGAGAGCCTTTAAATATTGACGTTAAAAATGAAACTTATACACCCTGTATCGAAACTGAGCATTTTAGGACATACATTTATAACTTTTTTATTTATTTTTATCTGCAGAATATGCAGCCGAAGTTTCCGGAATAGAGTTCGGACCACCTCACTTTTGAAGACTTATACTTTTCAGACAGTCCATAAAAAGTTTCATCTAGTACTGTCCAAGTCCAGGCCTGTTTTATTTGGTTATCGAAAGGGGTTAAGGGATTTGCTAGTTTGGGGGCGGTAGTCCGACGTTTTTTGTCTCTATCAATTAATTAATTAGGAGTGTAGAAACGTGCCGCTGTCGCAACGGGCGGCGTAATTCTCCAGCGAGACTCGGAGAAGGAATAGAGATATCGGGCACCACGTCTTGCATTTTCAAGTTTGTTAACTTCCCCAATGTAGATGAATATTTAATTGCTCCACCTTAATTATTATCGGAGACGTCTCGCTGCTGCTGCTGTTCCTTCTTCCCAAAACAAAACTTTGTGTTTTGTTAATTACCTCCTTATGCGGCAAAATTAGGGACTCCTGCCTGCTTCTAAACAGCAGATGGAACAATAATGGTTTAATAATGCACGGCACGGCAATCAAATAACGTTGCGACTGTAAAGGATCGAACAGAGTTACACAGTCCTTCGCCATTCTGCCAGGATCTCTTAATTTTCTGCGATTCCGCTTTAATCGTTACCTCTGAGAAAGAAGGCCTTACGGCTTACACCTGACGTCAACGTATGTAGGCTATCAGTATTTAAGGCTTTAAAAGTTTATCTATTCTAAAAATGCATAACATTTTCTACATATCCTGAAATTTTAATAACGTTATCAATATTTTTACTATTTTTATAAGCAGTTGAAAAAATGTCAAAAACAGGACAATTTAAAGTCATGAAAATTGCGGATTTTCGTCATCTCACCGATATTGTTAAAACTGCTTTCCTAATTAAAAGGCGTAGAATAAGAAAATATGAACCATTGTAATTTTAAGAGAACAGTAAACGATGTAGCGGACGTTTTAACCTTCATCAAAAATAGTTGAAAAACAAAGGCCCAAAAATTTAATCTTCTCACAAAGCCAAGGTATTTAAGCCTTCAAAGGTATATATTCTGAATCTACATAAAATTACTTACAAATGTTGAAATATCTATACCTTGATCAATATTTATATAAGCAGTTTAAAAACATGTTACAAAAAGGCGAAAAAAAAATCGATAAATTTTGGACATTTTTCCATACGTCATACTCATGAAAATTAGCGATTTTCGTCATGTCATCGATATTGTTAAAACTGCTGTTATTTACTAATTAAAAGGTGAAAAATAAGAAAATATAGGCCATTGTAGTCTTACGAGAACAGTAATGGACGTCGCGGACGTTTTCGTCTTCATCAAAAATAGCTAAAAACAAGAGTCCAAAAAATTAATTTTCTGACAAAGCCAAGATACCTAAACCTTCAGAGGTGTATATATTCTGAATTTACATAAAATTACCTACAAATGCTGAAATTTCTATATCTTGATCAATATTTTTACTTTTTTATAAGCAGTTCCAGATGAAAAAATCGATAAATTTTGAACATTTTCGTCATGTCATCGATATTGTTAAAACTGCTGTTATTTACTAATTAAAAGGTGAAACATAAGAAAATATAGGATATTGTAGTCTTAAGAGAACAGTAATGGACGTCGCGGACGTTTTAGCCTTCATCAAATATAGCTAAAAACAAGAGTCCAAAAAATTAATTTTCTGTCAAAGCCAAGATACCTAAACCTTCAGAGGTGTATATATTCTGAATCTACATAAAATTACCTACAAATACTGAAATTTCTATACCTTGATCAATATTTTTACTATTTTTATAAGCAGTTCGAGATGAAAAAATCGATAAATTTTTGACATTTTCGTCATGTCATCGATATTGTTAAAACTGCTGTTATTTACTAATTAAAAGGTGAAACATAAGAAAATATAGGATATTGTAGTCTTACGAGAACAGTAATGAACGTCGCGGACGTTTTAGCCTTCATCAAAAATAGCTAAAAACAAGAGTCCAAAAAATTAATTTTCTGACAAAGCCTTTAGAGGTTTGTTTGTGAATCTATATAAAATTTCCTACAAATCCTGATATTTTCAGAATTTTATGGTTATTTTTACTACTTTTTAAGGCTTTTTTAATCCAAAAATTCATTCAAGTCATTTTTTCATTTTTTAAGGCCGAAAGCCATCAGAAGAAGGCGAGATAAATAGAGATATAAATATAAACTTGTTTATGAAATTCTTCATATTACCTGGTGTGTGCAGTAATTCGTTTTTGGAGCAAGTGGGGGTTGGCATTATGCTTATTGGAAAAGTGATTACCACTGGCTGGCCCCGAAGTGGGTGAAAAATAAAGTGAAATGACACCGATGGCGCAAAATGCGAGTGTTAAACGTAAAGGGGCCCATTATATCTTTTCGTAAGGCCAGGTCCGCGGCGCGAGAAAAAAGTTTTAATTATTAGGGTCGCTTATTTATGACGAAGATAAAACCGGATGAATTATGAGTGCAAAAATATTCTTTTAGTGAATATTGGATTTTTTAATTATAATACCGGGAAGAGCAAGCGCGAGAAAGAGAGAGAGAGAAAAGTTCACGAAAGGCTGAGGACAATTTATTGAAATTCATAACTTACCAGACCATAGATTCTTCGTAGTACGATTTCTTTCGTCCCTTCTTCGGAAACTAATTAAGATTTTTCCCAATTTGTTTGTCGGCTCGTTCATAATTTTTGTCTTCCACTCTTTGGGCACCTGTCGAATTTCAACAGATTTTTATTAATTTATAGAGGCCAAAAACCCACAAACCCAATCTTAAAAACCAAGTGCGCTGAATTATTAAAATATAAAAAATAATAAACTAAGAGACATGACTTAATTTTCTCATAAAACCAAGGGATCTAAGCTATTAAAGGTGTATATATTCAAAATCTACAGAAAATTTCCTACAAATGCTGAAATTTGTAGAAATATTTAAAAAAGAAAATATAAGTAGACCAGTGTAGCGTTACGAACAGAATTTTAGCTGTAGGTAAAAGTTTATCTATCACTAAAACTAAAAATTTTTAAAAAAATAGGTTAGCTATACATTTTTAGGTATTTTTCCAAAGTACATAAAATTTCCTACAAACTTTGAAATTTTCAAAATTTTATGACCAAGATTATTATTTTTGTGAATGCCTTGAAAAGAGGTAAAAAATAACCAAAAATGTACAAAGCACAAATTTACAAATATTAAAACTCTTCTATGAAAAAGGTATCTATCTACACCTGACATTATTTATATATTATTTATTATTATTATTTACAATAAAAAACACTTAATTGTGTGTCTTTGCCTTTCTGTGTTAATTCAGATTAAAATTAAAAAATAACACTTTTAATTTTGACCCCTCTTCCTGAGAGGCTCTCGTTTTGGATGTACATTTTTCCTCATTTGAGCCTTATCTTAATTAAAACCAAACAAATAAAATGAGTTTTATAACTAGTTAGTAAAATTAGGCCCAAAATAAACACTATTTACTAAAATCCTACCTTCAGATATTAACGGTAAAATAAATTGAAAAGAAGGGCTACGTACTATAACAAATACACTCGCCATTTTAACAAAAATAACTAAGTACAAACATGAGAGGAGGAAAGAAGGGTGTAAATATATAAACAGTGACTCACAGATAGGAGGGTGAGATAATCTAAAAAGGGTTGCAAGAGAATGCTTACCAAGCAAAAGAAGTGTATACTGATTCTCGTGCTTTGCATTTGTTTCATGTTTATATGTACCATATACTTAATTGTTTCTTGCACATAGTGCCTAGAAATCATTTTTTTACTAATAAAACAAGATATATTAATTAAAATTCTCATGATGAAAAAAAAACATCTCTCTATGGTAAAGGAATATTTAATAAAAAGGTAGCAATTCTGAACTACCGAGTTAGGTCAATTTTAGCTAAATAATTATAGCCAAAGTGCCTAAAGGTAGGGAATTATCAAAGGGTTGGAAAGCATAATGCAACTTATTGTATTGAGGATTAAACGTTCCTGGCTTGTAATAAAAGAAAATGGAGGATAAGGCTAGAGGAATTCAAAAAGGTATCTCCTTTAGTCCAAGAACCGATACCCATACTGTCCTATATTCTGACAGTTCATCAAATTTCTTACGTATTTTGAAAATTTTCACAATTTTATCAGTAGTATTCTTCTCTTTAGTATTTCTCTAGCTACCTATGTTAAAATTAGCTAAAAACGGATAATTTACCTACTTTCTTCCATACATATAGTCCTGAAAATTAAATTTTTTAAAATTTAAAGAGGAAATTGCAAGTATCCAATCCCTCATTACCAAAATTGTATGCTTTGCTAAAAATTCATAAACCGGACAAGTCTATGCGCCCAATTGTTTCGGCTGTAGGTTCTCCGACTTATAATTTGGCAAAATGGTTATCAAGAGAGTTCGAAAATTTACCTGATCATGAACCTTCTTTCTCAGTTAAAAATAATATTGAATTCATTAACAAAATTAAAGATATAACATTGCATGAAGGTGAAATTTTGGTCTCCTTTGATGTATCTTCGTTGTTCCCAAGTGTTCCAATTCCACATACTTTAGGCTACTTAAAGGAATTACTGAACGCAAATGGTCTCGACAACAAAACTGTGAGTGAATATATTGAGCTTACATCGTTATGTATGAAACAAAATTGTTTTCAATTTAATAACAACTTTTTGAACAGCGAGAAGGTACAGCAATGGGTAATCCATTGTCTCCATTTTTGGCTAATTTATTCATGAGCAGGTTTGAAGTGGAGGCTAAGAATCAGTTTGAGTATTTTCCAAGAGTATGGTTTAGGTATGTGGATGATATTTTGCTGTTTTTTGACACACATTCAGACACCATAGATAATTTTATTTCTAAGTTAAATAATCGTTTTCCTTCCATTAAATTTACGCATGAAATTGAGAACAACGACAGATTACCATTTCTAGATATATTAGTTATTAGAAATACTAATAATTGCCTGGAATTTGATATCTATAGGAAAAATACAACCACACGCAGATATATTCCTAATGAATCACATCATAGTGTTGAACATAAAATGGCTAGTTTAAATTTCTTAGTTCATAGATTACTTAGTTTCCCACTTTCCAACGAAAGATATGAAATAGAAAGAGATTACATTAGGAATGTAGCTGAGTGTAATGGATATTCTCCTTCACTAGTTGATAAATTAATTAGAAAACGTAGGTATAGGTTAATGATTTCTGAAAATTCGACTTTTCAAGTGGAGAAAGATACGTCTAAATATTTTTCGATACCGTTTGATAGAGAGTTATCCCGTGGTCTAAAAGGAATTTTTAAGAATGTCAATTATAAACTTGTGTATAGTGCTAATAATAAATTACAACAATTATTAGGTAATCCAAAAGATAAAACACCTCCATTGGAAAGGTCGGGTATTTATGAAATTTCTTGTAAAGATTGTAATCAGAAATATGTTGGGCAAACTAGAAGATCAATATTAACTAGATTTAAAGAACATTTAGCTCAGATAAGATATGGTAGACCGGATAAATCTTGCGTTGCCGAACATATTGTTGATAATGAACATTGTATAGATCTTAATAATTTAAAATTAATTAAACAAGTCTCAAATTACAGGCAATTAGATGCATATGAAAGCATCAGAATTAATAAATGTAAAGATAGTATGAACAGAGTCAACGGTCCAATTCCTTCAAGTTCTTTGTTCCTACTACTCTAGTGGCGGAAATCTAACTGTTACGCTCAGCTGGCTCTGACTCGGTTGGCTAGATTTTGCCACGCCCACTCGGGGCCCACTGAGCGAGTATATAAACGCTCACCTTGTAGATTGTACTTTAGTTTATAATCATCTGCTGATGATGCTAACATGGTTAGCGAAACGCGCGTCCAGTGTAAAAGTAAAAGTGTTTTGGTGTATTGTGGTGATTTAGTGTTTTTATTTTCCTGAAAATTGTCGATTTTTCACTCAGAAAACGCAGATCATGAAAATATAGACCTTGTTTTTATGGTACTGGATGTAGGATATAAGTTTTAACCAGCAATTTTTATAAAACTTCTCTTGATTAATAATTAGAAATATACAAAAGCTGCATGAAGATGAATAAACCCATAATAATAAAATAAATAAAACGAAAATTATGAGCATACGTCAGATGCCCACGTACTAAGTCCAGCCTGGCTTTTCCGCTGAAAATCTTTGGCTGTAGTTTGTAATTTTCCTGTAATTGTAGGTAAGTATAATTGCTGCAGATAATAAACGGAGAGGTTTATTTGGTATGCTGCTGGGGACCGATTCTTTTGCCTCTCCTTTCCAGAAATGCCGACGATTCTTTCGTTGCTAGCTTCCTGGCAAAAGTCTCAACGGGAATTAAATGGAAACGTTTATTATATATTATATTGTTAGTATCAGCAGTGATAATCTGCTCCTACGTGAGCAGAAGCCTTTTTAGCACGTGCGCCAACTTTACTAAAGAATATTTTATCTTCTTGCGTATGTGTTTTAGGAGGAACGCTGTTACTTTGAATACAGAATTTATAATAAATCGTTCCGCATTTGTCATGTAAATAGATGCCAAAAAGAACCTCCGTAACTTTAGATAACTTAAATGTGGATAACTGAATTTCTAATAACGTTGTTATATTCGAAAGGTCAAAAAATGCCAGAAATCGAAAAATTTTGGACTTTTTTCCATAGATATAATCATAATAGAAGCCAAAAAGAACCTCCGTAGAAATTATTGTTATTTACTAACTGAAGGGCGTAGAAATATCAATAGTAAAATAACTAAGTTAAAGAGTAAGTACATTAGAGTAGAACACACACCAAAAACAGGCAAAATATATTATCGTTCTTATATAAAAAATGAAGGAAATGGAATAAGTGAGATTTGGTGTTTCTGCAGAATTATTTTCTCTGGAATATTTATTTCCGTCTGGATTCTTAAACTTTCTTGACACATGTGTACAAAGAGCAAAACATTCTTTGCGGTGTTTAACTTCTATCAATATTTAAGCAGCTACATAAACAATGCGAACCAAGTTTTAGATGTTTAGACGTGTGATCTTTCGATTTTTGACAATGTATAAATTGGTTCGCGACGGGGAGTCCTGTAAATAGATTTTTTGCAAATGATAGAATTAAATATACAGCAAATCTCAGCATAAACAAGAAAAAAGTACATTGGAAATAAACATACACCAGACTATTTCTATTTTCACGAGTAGAAATAACAAAATTTAATAAAAAGCATTATTAATTTAATATACTTAAATAAACCCACAGAAAATAAAACACAATGTTTAAATGGAGTAAAAACAGGGTATATGAGATACAAACATCGTAATAACCTTTTTTGGCGTGGTAAATGATTGGCTGTGTAAATTCTTAACTTCACAGGATATAATGTTAACAGGGCGGCAAATTCGTACGCGTTTTTGCGTGTGTACAGCTTGAAAATACAAAATACAACCACCTGTTGTGTTTATGATGCACAAAAACGACGGCTGATCTCGTTTATTCCGGAAATCCGTGTTTTATCAAAATAATTTACGTTGACGTATGTTTCATTCACACTTTCGTTCTATTTTTTAACGCCTAAATGTTTTTGTTAACTAAATATACTCTTTTTTATTTAGAATAATAAGAATCATTACCCCAAAAATGGATATTAAAAAAAAAAAATTTATGCCCAATATACCCATAACTTTT